GCATCCCAGATGATCTGTTCTGCATACAGATTGAAAAGACAAAGAGAATACATTCCTGGCCAACCCCCTTGCCAATTTTGAACCTTGCTCTGTTCCAGTGACTGCCTTTTGGTCCAAGTATAGGTCCAAGTATAAGCACAATCAAATGTTCTGGAATTCCCATTCTTCTCAGAGTCAGCCACAGCTTGCTGTGATTCACACAGTCAAAAGCTTTTGCATAATCAATGAAGCACAGATAGACATTCCTCTGGTACTCTCTGCTTTTTGTCAAGATCCATCTAACATTAGCTATTATATTCCTAGTACTACAACCTCTTCTAAACCCAGCCTGCACATCTGGTAGTTCTCTGTTGACGTGTTGCTCTAGTTGTTTTTCGGTAATTTTCAGCAGAATCTTGTTTGCATGTGATATTAATGATATTGTTCAATAATTTCCACACTGTCGGGTCACACTCTGCTGGGCAACCTATCTTTGGAATGGGAACAAATATCGATCACTTCCAGTCAACTGGCCAACTGGCTGTCCTCCAGATTTCTTGGCACAACTTAGTGAGTATATCCAGGGCAGTGTCTGTTTGATGACATATGTCAATTGGTATGCCGTCAGCTCCTGGAGCCTTGGTTTTTGCCAATTCTTTCAGAGCAAATTGAACTTCCTCCTTCATCACCACAGGCTCTTGCTCATACATTATTTCATGAAATTCTTCTGTGTCAGCCAATTCCTTCTGGTACAGTGACTCTGCGTACTCCTTTCATCTTTTTTTTAATGCTTCTTGGATTATACTCTACCCAAAGCATCCTTAAGTACTGCCACTCGTATGGCCTTGTAAGAGAACTGAGGCTGAAGATCAAACAACTGAATTTTGTACAACAAATTATTTTCTTACTGCAAATACTTTCTTTAAAAATATACAAACGGGGACTATACACACACACACACACACACACACACACACACACACACACAAATTTACCTGATAACTACACAGGAATAATATTGACTACATCTGTGGAAAAAGACACTGGAAAAGCTCAATATCAGCAGTCAAAACCATGCCAGAGACTGCCTGTGGAACAGAGCATCAAATACTCACATGCAAGTTCAAATGGAAGGGGAAGAAAATTAAAACAAGTCCACAAGAACCAAAACATGATTTTGAGTATAACCAAAACATGATTTTGAGTATATCCCCACTGAATTTAACAATAATCCCAAGAATAGATTTGATGCCCTAAACACGAACCACCACAGACCAGACAAGTTGTGGGATGAATGACAGTATCCATGAATAAAGCAAGGGCATTACAAAAACAAGGAAGAAAGAAAAGATCAAAATGGATGTCAGAAGAGACTGTGAAACTTGCACTGGAACAAAAATATGTCTAACAAAGGGGGGAAATGCTGAGGTAAGAGAGTTCAACAGAAGATTTGAAAAGACAGCTTGAGAAGGAATTGCAAAGTATTATAATGCACTGTGCAAGGACCTGGAGTTAGTACACCAAGAGGGAACAACACACTCGGCTATTCTCAAGGTGAAAAAAACTGAAGAACAAATTCAAGCCTTGAGTTGCAATACTTAAGGATTCTATGTGCAAAATATTGAGTGATAAAGATGCATCAAAAGAACACAGAAGGAATACACAGTCATCGTACCAAAAAGAACTGGTAGACACTGAACTATTTCAGGAAGCAGCATTTGATCAAGAACCAGTAATACTTAAGGAAGAAATCTAAGCTTCCCTGAAGGCACTGGCTAAAAATAAGGCCTCAGATACTGATGGAAGTGTATTCAGGAAACACCAACTGAAGTATTTCAGGAAACAGATGTAACCCTGCACGTGCTCACCAGTCTCTACCAACAAATACGGAAGACCGCTTACCTGACCAACTGACAGGAAGACACCCATATTTCTCCCCATTCCCAAAAAAAAGATAATCCACTAGAACGTGGAAATTATTGAACAATTAATATTCTATTTTAGACATATTAAATTTCGTGTACCACCTGACAGAAGAAAATATTTGACTATAACAAGTCGGATCTCATCACTGTCAAATTGGAACTGACTCATAGCTGGCCTCCCATTAGCGTTCCCAGGCTGCACAAAGCATGAGAGAAGATTGTCCATCTTTCTCCTATGAATGGCTAGTAGGTTCAAACTGCCAAAGAGGTGTGTCCCTTGGGTTAAATGAGCAAATCTCTACAGATTATGTTCCCAGAGATCCTTAATACTACAAATTAAGTAATACTAATACAGGACCTCTGGTGGTGGAGTGGTTAGGTGCTCACCTGCTAACACAAAGGTCAGTGGCTCAACTCTCCCAGCATCTCCACAGGAGTCTGTTTTCATAAATATTAAAGCCTTGGAAACCCTGTGTGACAAAATTTTATTATGTCCTACAGAGGTGCTTTCAATAAGAATCAATTCAACAGAAAACTTTTAGATGAGAACAACTTATTACTGAATTCCAAAACATACACATCATCCATTCTACCATCAGCAAATAGCTTGAAACCTTAAGAATGGGAAGAATTCATCAAAGTAGGAAGTCAGCGATTCAGAGGAATCTGAATCTGTCCTGTACGGTCTTTTAGCACACTGTTTCTCAAGAGGTGATTCAGAGAGACCATCAGAGACACGGAAGAAGAACAAAGCGTGAACAAGGCCATGAAAGTCAAGTCAGAGTCCTGCTAGAAGGGTGTGACCCATAGCATCAAGCACCAAAGAGAGTTCACTGGATTTGCCTTCAGCAAACATGGTTTCAACAAAATGGCAGCAACAGAAGCTGAACTGTAGTGTTTTTAAGAGCAAAGAGGATGTGACAGAGCATTATAAACAATGGACCTTTACTAGGTTTTCACACTTTGAATACATGTTAGATTCAGCACTTACTGAAAACACACCAAATAACAAATATCAAGTGTTTTACACACAAAATCTCACTTCACCTGCACCATAACCTGTGAGGCCTCAAGGAACCACCTTCTCCATTTTATAGGGATGAAAACTGAGTGAGGCTAAGAGAGGTCAAATAATCTTCCACCTCCATACAACAGTAAGTGGGAGAGTTTGAATTTAAATCCAATTCTTTTGATTTTAAAGAAGATACTGTTTCCTCTTCCAATTTCACATCATCAGAGTTTTTGACAATTGCCTAAGTTACTTAATTTTAAAAAAAAAGTCTCAAGACCAAGGAACTGATTACTGTCTTGAAGAATTACGACTGTATAAAACAAAAGCAGACCAAATAGAGTATGTAAGCATTTCTGGTTGTTGTTCTGCACCATTAAGTCAGAATCAACACATAATTGACCCTCCTGTGGGTTTTCAGAGGCAGTAAATCCCACTGGAGGAGACTGGCCATCTTTCTCCCGTGGAGCACCTGATGGATTTGAACCACGTATCTTTAGGTTAGTAGTGTAATTCCTTACCACTAAGCCACCAAGCTCCTTTGGGAAAGAAAAAAAAAATTAGATAACATATCTGCAACACATTTCTCCTGTTTGGAAAGAGAAGGATGACACCGTTAGCAAGGAAAAAGAGACAGGTGATTCAGGTGAATCTCTCCACAAACTAATAATAGATCTGGCAAACAGATGAATGGTACTTAAAGCAGGAGAGTCTTCAATCATGAAATATTTCTATCAGGATATACCTAACCTGTGGTCACTTATGATAAACAAACCTGGAATTATGGGTTTATATAACACAACTATCTATTATTTAAAAAAAAAAAGATGTTTCAGAGCAACCTTAATGGACAGAGTAGAACTCCCCTATATGGATCGAAAGCTGTACAAATGTATGAAGCAGATGGCCATATCTTTCTTCCACATAGCTGCTGCTGTGCTTTCAGAGCTCCTTTAGGGGACATGAGGTGAGGGGATTAAGGGAACTCTCTGAGCGCTTGAACTATTTTTTACTGACTAAAACAAAAAGAGGGAGCTTTAGTGGTCTAGTAGCAAGAAGCTGTGCTGCAATCCCGAAAGCACGTGGTTTGAGGCCACCAGATGCTCTGTGGGACAAGGATGGTCAATCTCCTTCTATGTGAAACCCACTGGAGGGTCAGCTATGGGTCAGTTCTGACTCTCTGGTACACAACAACAAAATAAAAAGGATGTTTTTCACAAATAAGAGATTAGGAATTTTGCTATCAGAAACTGAGAAAGAAGGAAAGGAATTCAGGAATGAATGACCCCTGATGAACTTGTGTAGATCATGGTCTTTTCCATGAAGAATTCCTCTGAATCCTAAGATTCAGGGGAAACAGTTCATCTCACATGCATAACTGTGGTTGTGCACCATCAAGTCGGAACGAATCCCTAGCTGGCTCTCCAGTAGGTTTTCAGAGGCAGTTAATCGCAATGGAGGAGACTGCACGTCTCTCTCCCACAGAACAGCTGGTGCCCTTGAACCACATTGGCAGTGCAACTCGTTACCACTAAGCAAGCAGAGCTCATTCACATAAGTCTTGAGGGTGCTAAAAGGCCCTGACAGAAAGTATAATAAAGCTTTAACTAATGCAAAGGTGGCTCAGTTAAATGGCTAGCACCACTGCTTACTAGCAAGGGAATCTGAAAAAGTGACTCTGACCTTTGCAAGCCTATTTCCTCTTTCATGCATGGTGGTAACAATATCATGCATGAGAGGGACATCATGCTTAGAAGGGTAAAGGAACAGTGCAAGAGAGGAAGACCCTGGATGAGATGAATTGAAACAGTAACGAGGGTAAAGGGGGGTAGGTGTGTCAGAGTCAGCGAGACTGGATCAGTATAGAGCAGTGTTCAGAGCTGTTGTACACAGGGCCGTTATGAGCTGCAGGTGACTCCGTGGCACAAAGCAATATTCACTTTTTATATGGTAGTGTAGAGTTACAGAAAACATCTCCCCCAAACTGAAAATAAGCAACAAAAATTTAAAATAATTAATAGATCAGTAACCTACCGCTGATTCACAAATGGACTAGAAAGTTCGGCCAGCAGACGAAAATTCCCAATAGATTCCAGAGCTCCAAATGCCTGCATAATAAACATAAAACATGTATAAGCAATCACATTTGTATTCAAAGTTCCAAAAATGAGGAAACAGTTTCTCAGCATAACAACAACAGAAACAAATCTTAATATCAAAATGGAGTTTTCTACCTTCTACAGAACAAAGAGTTATTTTTTAAATTTAGAAAAATCTTTGAAATTCTATAATTTTCTGAAAGATAGTATAGTGCTCATAATAACATAAACAAATAGGATTTAAATAAGTTGTTTCAAGTTGAACTGATGAATGCTATAAATAATTATTAGTATTCTGAAGTTACTACAGAAACATGATCACAAGGTAGAATGACTGACAGAAAAATTTTATAGCCATTCAATATATAACAGGAACTAATTTTTACAACCACTATTAAAATAAATGTTGTTTTGCATGTTTAGTATAGAAGTTCCTCCTGTTCCTTGGGAGATCATAGCCTTGAAACATGCACAGAACCTTTAAACTGTGCCTACGAAATTAAAGGAGTGAACTTTTGACATCAAGGATTTCAGATGCCTTGGAATTGAACAACTGTAAATTACCTCTATATTAATGTACTCAGATAGTCTAATTCTAACTTGCAATTAATTATGTTTGCCAATTATCTGTTTGAAATAAATTTGTGTCTGAATAGCTATTGAAACTGTTAAATTGTACAGATATTATTCATGACAGCTTTGTACTGTGGAATGTACTTGATAAAAAAACAAAAAGTTTGACCTTTGTCCAATAAATTGCTAAATAATGTCAATAAATTAAGTATGAGCATTATACAGTACATCTAAAAACAAAATCTCAGAAGTGTTCTTTACAGCATCCTAAGTACCAAGAGATAAGCCCCTAAGCAGATGTCTATCTGCAAAACAAAACACCGGCTCCATCTTAATTTATATTTATATGAAAAACCTATTTGTTAATCAGAAGTTTCTAAAACAAAACCATCAACTTTGTAGCCTTTTCAAATTTAGAAACGTAATACTTAATATATTCTACCAATTGGCAGAATCCCCAAAGCATACATTTCAACTATTTTACTTAATACATGTTTAAAGGTACTACTAGTTATGGAGTCATTCCAGTACTTGACAATTAAGTTGAAATTACGAGTACACACCAAAGGAAATTGTGTTCTGCCTCCAAAACATGACAAACATAGGATTCCTTTCATCTCAGGGAGGGGTTCCCCAGATACAAATGCTTCTTCACTAAAACAGAGACAGTCCCAAGCAAATCGAGGAGGAATGGTCACCTGATTTGATATTTTTCACTATTTCTAGTCAGTTGATTCAAAGCAGTTGAGCAATGGTTTTCTACCCTCATTGTTTGTTTAACAGAATTACTTAGTGAGAATTTTTAAAAATTTGATTCCATTCAGATTCTTACTAATTTTAAATAGGTAGATATTGGACAATGATTTAAAAAAATCACTCCAGATGACTCCAGTGTCTGGCAAGACACAATATCAGATGACATCATTATACCCAGCACAACAGTGCACTCATCTTACTGCTAAGCACCTACTCATATACTACCTCCATACCTATTTTGGTACCTTAATAGTGTGCATGTTATATACAGCTGTGCACAGACACACGACAACTTGTACTTGAAATCCCAAGCAAACATGGGACCGTGAGGATGAGGACTCCACTATTCAATCCCACTAGGTGGCACACGGAAAGATGCTTTACAAAGTATTGGCAAATGAAAGTCATTATCCTTACTTACACAATGTAAACTGCAAACAACAGGAGCATATTACTTCAAAAAAAGAACAGTAAACAGCAAGAATAAATTTGAGGCGGAATGGTTCCCTCCACCCCACGAGTACACCAGGTTGCCTCCTAGGTGATGAACTCACTTATATCTAAAGGAGATCCAGTCAGAGTTCTCATCTTCTTCCAAATTGTGTTCCATCATTAGCTGCTCTGACTCAGGAATCATATGTACAAGCAGCTGACAATGCCCAGACCTGCACCTTCCTCATCCTCATCGTTACATCTGAGCTTCCTGTAGCAGCCACTCTGTCAATCCATCTCTTTAAGGATCTTCCTCTTTTTCTTCACTGACTACCACAAAGGAGCACTCGTGTCAGTTTAAAGGCTGAGATGAACCTAATTCAAACCATGGTCTTTCCAGTAACTTGCTGTATATCTGAGAGCTGGACAATGAATAAAGATGACAGAGGAAGAATTGATGCCTTTGAGTTATAATGTTGAAGAAGAATGCTGAACATCCCATGGAATGCCAAAAGAACAAGCAAGTATGTCTTAAAGAAAGTGCAACCAGGGTGCTCCTTAGGGGCAAGGATGGCATTTAGATTTATTTATTCCTCCTAATATATTCTATAATATGTAGTATTATAGAATATGTTATTCTATATTAATATAGAATAATAGAATAAGTAAATAATTTATATATTAGTAGTAACATATGTGCTACCATTACATTATCTTATTTATCAAGTGCTGCTGTCACAGAAATACAAGTGGATGGCTTTAACAAACATTCCCTCATAGTTCAGGAAGTTAGGTGTATGAATTCAGGGCACCAGCTCTTGGGGAAGGCCTTACTGTACTGCTGGCTTAGAAGAAGGTCTTTGTCTCTTTTCAACATCAGATGACTCAGGGTTTGTTGGAGGTGTCTCTGTGTCTTGGTATCAGTCTTGTCCTCTGGGTCTAGGAAGTTCTCAGCACAAGAACTCTGAGTCCAAAGGATACACTATAATATAGACTTCTATCTTGACGGGACAAAGGTTCATCCATCTCTGCTTGCTTTTCTCTTTAATATCTAAGAAGAGAAAAGCTGATGCAAGCCACATCTCAGATAAAATCCCCTTACACTGGACTGGATCGGGGCTATGACTTGAGAGAGAGTTTTGTATCTCATCCTAATCTCCTTATAATGCACTGACTGATCATATCAGGTCATATCACAGTGGAGACTGCATCATTAAAAACTATAAGATTACATTATTAGGTAACTGCCAAATAACTGAGAACTGTGGTCTAACCAAGCTGACCCTTATTGTAGGGGGAAGGGGACACAATTCTATCCATGACAGTCACCAAAATGAAATTCTTTTCTCCCACCTTTATTATTTTAATAATTACCTAAAAGGAACTCTCCCCTTCATGTAGATATTTTCCTGCATAAAATTATATTTATCTAATTGTGCCAAGTTATTTTCCAGGTAAAAGCTCTAGTCAATAAAGTGCAAAACTTCAAGGCTAATGAGTTAAAGCTATTACTCCTTACTCATAAAGAATTTTTATCTTTATATATGCAAATCTATAGCAACTCACACACAAACCCCAGTGCCCTGGTCAATCCAAATCCTTAATCTCACTCTTGAAAATCTGATATCATCTTCTCATGAGGCTGTTTGAATTAAGGAGTCATTTCTATTTTTTTAGGTTAGGACTTGCAGGGAGTATAGAAGACAGGCTAGTTTTAGTTCCACCTATTACAAAAACTCTCTTAGAAAATATATAAATATGACTTACTCATTGCAAATATGTTTTTTAAGAGACATAAACATAGATTATACACATGGATTTCACCTGATGGTATGCACAGGCATCAGATCGATTACATCTGTGGAACAAAATGCTGGAGAAGCTCAATATCAGCTGTGAAAACTAGGCCAGGAGCTGATTGTGGAACAGACCACCAACTACTCATATGCAAGTTCAAGCTGAAACTGAGGAAAATGAAACCAAATCCACAGGAGCCAAAATATGACCTTGATTTCTTCCCATCTGAATTTCAGAATCATCTCAGGAACAAGTTTGAGGCCTTG